GGGGCAAGGTTTATTGTGAAAATTAAGGGTTGACAATGGTCTGTTATTTTTTTAGACAATAAATTAAAAATTTAGAGGGCGTCGTGAGAAAAATGATCAACTTTGTAAATAACGGACACCCTAATATACACGGAATATTGAGGCACTCTGTATATTTCTTTCTATCACTACACCAAAATGTCAGTATACCAAAATAATTTTGACATACTGACATGACACTGAAGAAAAGGTAATAAGTAAAGTTCTTTGGTAAAGTTCATCTTTTAATTTTTGTTCTTCGTAAAAGTTTGATACACTCTAATATAGATTTTCTAAAGTTATTCTTAAACTAATTACGAAAAATAGCAAAGCGTACTCTTCATACTTTAAATAAATATAAATACTTAGTAGGTATAATAACTTACTATATGAATGAATTTTTAAATCCTGCAGCTGAATCTTTGACGTCACAATCGAAGAGATCTCGTAAAATCGATATGAACGACAGTATAATGCATTCCGTTTGCTATTGTTAAAGATAGAGCTTTCCTGTATTTTTTGCATTTCATTAATTTCTAAGTATGTCGACACTATTCAAAACTCATTAATTTAACATTATTACTGTGCAATAAATCATTCCGCCCACAACTGAAGTCCTCGGTTGGAATATAATATTTTCAAGCTAGAGATAATGAGTTTAAATATAAAAAACGATTACTTCGATATGCCTTCAAAAGTATCAATATATCAATGAGATATTGAAAAATCAGAAAGATTGGTTAACAGATAAAGAATACGAACTTTTAATATCTTTCTTAGAACCTAAAAATGCACCTGTCTACCTTTATTTACCATTAAATTTACAGCTGGAAATATTCGTTGTCAATCAACTGAAAAGAGACCGTTTAGTCAACCGAAGAAACTATAGAAAATTGATGTATACTACCAGATAAGAGGTTTCCAAACTATTTTAGTAGACCACTTTAAAAATTTTACTGGTTGAGGTGGATTTTGTGGAAAAATCATGGCGAACACGAGTTCACATTTGCTAGACCAGAAAGCGGACTAAATATACTCACCAAACATGATTTTGAAGAAAAGACAAGGATTCGCATCTCGACAAAGGTGGCAGACGACCCACCACTTGTAACGATCAATACAGTGTAGGAAGATATGGGAACTATCCTCAGGGCCAAGCAGCAAGAGACGTGGCAACACCGTGAGGACTGCGTTACAGCTCGAAGACTATGGCCAGTGGTAGATATCAAAAAGACAAAACAACTACTAGAGCACAAAAAGAACCTAGTACGCATAATTGTAGGTGACTGGAAACGGCCCCACGCCACGGGAGTAAACCTCGTAAGATGGAAAATTTCCAATGGCGACTACTACAGAGAATGCGGAGAGGAAGAAGGAACAAGAGAGCACCTGCTGTGCCACTTCTGGCACTGGAATACTTTATACTTGCCTTAAAACTTTAGGGCAAGGTTTTTTTGAGGGACTAGAGGAAGCAACAGAAGCCATCATCAGAAACATCGGGAACTTTGCAAAGAGCTGGAAGTGCCTTAAGGCAAAGAAAGAATGAATCGAAGGAATATAATTTTAACTCATTTAGAACTGAACTCTCCAACAAAGCTGAAACATGTAACATATAAAAACATATAAAACATTATTATCTCCTAACCTAACCTAACCTTTCCAACGGTATAATAGAGAGAAAGTAAGGGGGATAGGGTCGAAACAAGCGAGATCCTTCCACGTAAGCCTATCCAAGGATGTCACAATTTTCCAGGCAGAAATAACGGCAATCCACTATTGTGTAGAAGAAATAATAAGGCAACAAAGAACAAATCGTTCTGTGGCCATCTTCACAGACAGCCAAGCGGCGCTAAAGGCACTCAGCTCCGCGGTGGTCAATTCTAGACTAGTGTGGGACTGTGTGCGTGCTCTGAATATTTTGGGCGAACGTAGCACTGTTACGTTGGCCTGGGTGCCAGGACACGAGGGTCACAAGGGTAACGAAAAGGCAGATGAAAGGGCCAAGCAAGGCTCATCAATGCCATTCATAGGCCCAGAACCCTTCTGCGGCGTTGCAAAGGCGGTCACGAGAATGGCCACGGAACGATGGGTGGCCAACAAATCTCTAGAATAGTGGAGAAACTCGCCAGGGCAGAGACAGGCGAAAAGGTTTATTGTAGAACATTCGCCAAAATTCACGGTAGACTTGATAAGCAAGGACAGAAAGACAGTCAAAGCTGTAGTAGGTCTACTAACAGGGCATTGTAAGCTCAATAGGCATCTAAAGCTGATGGGATTGACAGACGAAGCTATGTCTAGGTTCTGCCAATCTGAAGAAGAAACGTCAGAACACATTTTATGTCGGTGTGACAGCCTGGCAAATGTGCGGTTCCCGGTAATAGGCAATGATAGGCCATTGCCAAGGAGCTACATGGAGGGTTCAGTCTCCAAGTTGCTAAACTCTGTGAAAAGGATAGGACTGGAGAATGTAATCTAAGGATCAGAAGAGGACCACAATAGATCTGAGAAGGTCGCAGTGGATCAGGCCGAAAGCCACCTCTAAGAATCTAATCTAATCTAACTACAGAGAATGCGGAGAGGAAGAAGGAACAAGAGAGCACCTGCTGTGCCACTTCCGGCACTGGAATACTTTATACTTGCCTTAAAACTTTAGGGCAAGCTTTTTTTGAGGGACTAGAGGAAGCAACAGAAGCCATCATCAGAAACATCGGGAAGAAACATCGGAAAGAAACATCGGAAACATCAACTTTGCAAAGAGCTGGAAGTGCCTTAAGGCAAAGAAAGAATGAATAGAAGGAATATAATTTTTTTTTTGTTTCGTTTCTTTGACCTGTATACTATATATTTTTTGTTTTCACTCTTACATGCCAAGAGTGAAAACAAAAAAAAAGGAATATAATTTTAACTCATTTAGAACTGAACTCTCCAACAAAGCTAAAACATATAACATATAAAAACATATCTTATCTATTATCTATTATCTCCTAACCTAACCTAACCTTTCCAACGGTGTAATAGAGAGAAAGTAATAATAATAATAATTTATCATTATAGCAGTGTTGTATATAAAGCAAATACAAATATTATCGATATATTACTACATCGATCAGCAATATATTTTATACATTCCTAATTCCGACACAGTATGCAGTTACTTTTTGCTAAAAGCTTGCAATATTCTAAAAGACGCGATGTGTAATAACAGCTTACTTCCAACGGTATACGCTTATAGCGCTGGTAAAACCACATTATAATAAAGTAGGGAAACTGCATCTTACGAACATTAATGAAAGAAAAATCCACGTCAAAAGGTTGCTAGTGAAGACAAGATAATGAGATTGAACTGGAAGATCATAAGGATTTTGATATAAAGGAAGTTTGCCTTTGTAGTGATTTTAATATGGACGAAATACTGAAGGTAAACCCACAAGACCGGTTTAATGAGATAGGTGTGGGGCAGATAATAATTTTATTTCACTATTGAATTTCCAAATCCAATAAAATGTCTAAATAGAGGCTCTTGGCTACAGACAACTTATTAAAATCCCTAGGTCTACACTTTGTTGTTTTTGTAACTCCTGTCTTCTGCTGGGAATGGATGACACCCCCGCTTAGAGGGTTGAAGATTTTGCAATTATTTTTGGGGCAAAAGTTGTCCCCCTCACAAACAAAATTGACGTGTTTTTGGATTTTTTTGAAAAAAAAAGTACCCTGGCCGTTATGCCTTGCGGAACATTTTCGATGGGCCACCCTGTATAATACATTTAACATACATAGTAAATACATTTTCTATCGTGCATAATATTAAATATTAAATGAAGTCATCGCTTTTTTCATCTAAAATGGAGTTGTGCTTAGTATGAAACATGAATTATTACCACCGCTCTAGTAGGGAAACATGTTACATCTGGTGAGCTGAGATAAGCACATCACGTAAATTCGTTTTAAATTAGTTCATTAGCCGTCGGATAATCGATAAATTTAGTTTGAACTCCCCAAGTTGTAACTTCTTGGAGCGCTCGTGTTTAAACTGTAAATATCTAATATTCTCTCCCAATATCTGGAACGCATTATAAAATATTCTCCAGTGATTTATTAACGTAAAAAACGTAATAATATTGTTTTATGCTAGAAAAACAAATTCTTCAGGAAATTGTAATACATTGCAAGGCTTTATATTCTCAAAGGCGCTATTGCGACAATAACATGTTTAATCGCTTATTAGCCTGCCGTTTTCGTACTACGCGAAGTACTCATTGTCCTGTTTATCGATGAGGACATAAGGTCGAACTGAAGTTAAAACAGGTTAAGTGTTTACAGATGTGCTATTTAATTCCGAATTTAATACCAGGGTAATTGTCAGAGACTCAGCTATTGCATTTATAACTTTTTATTTATTGTTATAAATGACTTGTTTTTCTTCTATCAAAGTTCCTATGTCACTATACTGTTAACACAATGTTTATTAAATTGTAAGACAGCGCCCCCTAGCGTCTACGTTGAAAAGCTAATTATTATTAGTTTTATGGTATAATGGTATAAGGAACGCTCTTTTAAAAGAGCCTTCGTTTGTGGTATTTTGATCATCCAGTCTGGAGTTATCAACATTTAAATAAAGACTTACTGAATATTATAAAGCTATTATTTATAGTACGTCTAATCCAGACAAAATTCTGTAAAACTTATATTTGCTTATTTTCCATTTTATATATTTTTTCCATTATATTTATATTTTATTTTCCAGTTGCGACCTCTAGCGGCCGTTCTACAAACTTAGTGGGATACCCTGTACAAGTACACGAGTCGTGAGAGTCCGCCTTTAGATCATAAGAGTGAATATCGTAAAGTAACACTGTTCTGTAAACCGTCCACAGTTAAAATCAAAGCTAGTATAATGCTGTTCATATTCTGGCAGTGTTATTTTTTGTACCTCGATTTGAACAATATATCTAACGCGAAAATAATGAATTTCAAGCACTCACTTGCAATAGAACAGTCGGCCGTCTTTGGTGACGTGCACGGTCCAGCCGGGGGCGGGCGCGCTGTCCAGCAAGTGCAGCGCCCGGCTGCACTCCTGCTGGCGGCGGGCGTCGGCGGCGGCGGCCGAGCCATCTGCGGCGTCGTTTCGATCGGCCGACGTCGCCGTCACCGTGGCCCGCCGCGCCTCGCCCGAAATCGCCGTCTGGAAGAGCATGGCCGGCACGGCCCCCGCGGTCCGGGAGGAAGTGGGGCTGGGCGGTGTTGTTCACGTCTGCTGGTTGGATAACTGGAAGAAGAAAAATATAGGATATATTACAAAGTATACATTCATTCAATTTTGACTTAGAAACTGCGATTTGTAAATTAATATACCAGGGTTTCCACAGATCGATCAGTGACAGGATATCTATACTAATATATACATACTGATCCTGCTCACGATCCTGCTCAAACCACTCAACGTAAGAAGCTCAATTTTGGCATACAGGTTGATTCTAGGGTGTAGAGGTTCGATAAGAAGGGATTTTTCGAAATTCCAGTTCCAAGAGGGTGAAACCACCAAATCTAATGGAGTATTCGCTCCTTCTCTAGCTATATTGTTTGCTTTTTCATTACTTTCCATCCCTTGGTGGACTGGCATCCAGAGTAAGAGGACTTTACTTGTTGCCTAATTTGTTCAGCTTCTACAGCTACAACTTCTAATTTGAGGATTACTGAGATAATAATTGCTCTTTAGGCTGCTTGACTATAAGGTGGCTATTTATTGTTTCCAATAATTCCTATCTAAGGCAACTTGTACATATGTTTTGATAGCGTAGAAATCTAATGAATTTTTTTATCAAGGTTGTAAAAAACATTAATTTGCTTGCTTATTTATTATATCAATTTAATTCTATATTTACGCTACATTAAAGATAAGAATATATATTAAAATTGGCTGAGGAAAATATGATCTTCCGTGGTGTGATTAAAAATGGCTTTCTTATAAGATTACATTCTGTAACGTAATCCGTCCCCTATCACTTTACAATATTACATTTCAGAAATGTCACCGCAAATACGTCGTATTAAAGAGGTAAGCTTTTAAAAGCATCAAAATACCTGTTTTCAGCCAACTATATTTTTATAGGTACGATCTAATAATAGTATATACAGGGTGCTGCAAATTCGAGGTACGAGCATTGATATCTCGGAAACCGCAATTGATACGAAGATGGTTAAATTGGAGCAAAGTTGCTCTTTGAGATGTTCATCAAGATGCCATCTAAAAAGTTTTAAAAATTTCAAGGATTGCTGCGTTTTTTGGCAACAGAGCCGGACTTGAAATTAGTTTAAATAAATTATGTTCAAATGTCCGAAACCAAAAAAATACTAAATGTGGCATATCATTGTACTCAGAAGATTGTGTTCTTTCAAAACCTGAAATAAAACATGCAGGTCCGTATTTAAAAAAAATTAAGTTGACCTCTGTATCTCACAAATTATCAGCTAATTTGAAAATCTAAAAATGCCATCAGATAGCCCTAATAAAGTGGCTATGAGAATGTGTAATTAGTTTTTTAGATTTTCTGAAAAGTAACGACAGGAAAAATAAAATTGATTTTCAAGAAATACGGTTTTTTTTTTCAAAAAACTTAGCAATCCTTCAAATTTTTAAAACTTTTTTGATGGCATCTTGGTGAACATCCTAAAGCGCAACTTTGCCCCAATTTAACCATATTCGTATCTATTACTGTTACAAGATACCAATACTCGTACCTCGAATATGTAGCACCCTGTATAGAAAGAAGTCTGGCATACGCTAAATAAATAATAAATGTATTTTCCCAACCGTCTAATATTAAAGTTTACTTATGTCTCGAAATCGTTTTAATCTGAAATCCATTCGAATAGAACTAATGAAAAAGAAGCGACGGCGATACGCACCATCTGGATCTACAAAAAGTTTAAGTGGAGAATAAATTGAAAACATGACGTAATGGAACCATTACGTCTCCGAAAAATATTTTGTCTGGGCTACTGTTAAAACGAAAGCCCGGAAATGGAAATTATATTGGGATTCCTTATCCAAACTCATTTTATTGTTCTAACTTCTGCCTATGAATTTGATAAAATGTGCTAGTTAAAAGAAGCATAGCTGAAGGTATTCTTTTTTCATGGTTCTCTCAAAATTACAGTTAAAATTCACTAACAATGATCTTTCTGTTGTAATTGTATTAATGTCCTTAACAGAGGATGAAATTTAAGTTTCGGCAAATGATATAAAGTCTTAATCATATGCCAACAAGACATTGACTCATAAACGCAGAAAGCAAACTGGAAATCGCTTATATCAATTACCAAACACTCACTACCTTACCTTATAACGTTTTTAAAATCCGTTACTTATTTTTCAATACCGTGCTGGCAACTGTTACTTTTGGGTCGGCATTTACATGTGTGGAAGTAAATCGCATAGGGATCTTATTAAGTCGGAGTGAGAGAAATGCGACCGACCGACAAGACGCGCGACGGTGTGCTGTTGCGGCGTTGCCGATACACCTTTCTCTATCAAGTAAAGTAAAATCACGATCGCAAACCGCTTATTTTTAAAAGACTTTTTTTTAAAGAGATAACTAAATAAAATCATTAGACATGTTTCTGAGCATCTGAAATGGAATTATAAGGATATCGTTAGGGTGTCATTTTTTTTATAATGAGAAAACGGCAGTAATCGCGATAATTTAATAACTCAAGAACCACTTTAGATATTGAAACTTTTTTTTATTTTCAAGATCGGATATTTTATAATATGTTTACATAAGAAAAATTCGATAAGGTTGTTTTTTTCCATTCAAAAATTGTAAACAATCCATCCATTTACTTTTAGAGCATAGCAATTTTCAGCAATCGTGTAATTTTTTTATTGATGAAGATTTTTACATACTGTCTACAAAGAAAATACAGCAGAAATATTAACAAAGTTCTTGAAAAAACTACAATCTATTATTTCAAATAGATTTCGAGATATCGATTTTTGAATTCAGAGTTCTAATAGCGCGACCACCCACTCAATTCCACTTCTTTTTACCAAAAATGCAAGTGTTTCTAGCTTGCACTTAAAAAAATTCGAGCTATAGGGAAAATTACAACGACTCGTTAATAAATAAACAAATTAAGTATCACGAGACGTAATTAAATCGTGAAGCTGAACGCATGATGTACACCTTTCCTTAGAACTTTAAGTACTGACAGAGGTCTGCAGAGGTACTTATTGGGTCGGCCGCTCGACTACGACAAATCTGCTATATCCCCTCCCACGTCTCTTAGCAATATGTGCACAGTTTCTTAGTTTATTTCATGTGTTTGGCAACGTGTTTACTGTCCCCTCTTTGTTCGGTACATTATAAAACGCATTGTACTCTTCTTACATACGGAAATCTCGACTCAAGACTAAGCTTTGCCAGCCCTTAGTATACTCTAATGCGGCTCTGAGAACATGCACAGTGGAAGTTCCAAGGGACCAACGCAAAAGGAAACTACAGGAGAGGCAGCTGACCTTTGCGCCGAGACCAGGCTCCACAAGAAGTGGTACCACCTCTTGTAAGGGTCGGAAGACTATCTCTAGACACAACAGGCTACACAAGTTTCTAGCTATACCGTTTCTGACCAGCTAAATGAGGACCCGCTGAGAGTAGATCTCAGCAGAGCAGGAGTACGGAGATTTTTTTGTCAATAACAAGGGGCCGTCCTCTGCCGGCCCTGCCACCTGTAAGGCCTATTGTGTTTATCCCCTTTCTATATCTGCACCCATTCTCCTATCCCTATACCCTGCACTAACTTATGCAGGTCCTTGATAGGATGGGAGCATAGCTCCTCCGGTTCTAGCCTAGCTTTCCCAAATAAAAAGATTCGCTTGCGATCCAAAGCCTCGCAGTGACATATTATGTGCTCCGCTGTTTCAGGATCTTTATCGCAGAGTCTGCAGCAAACACATCCTTGATCCTTGAACAAGCTCAACCTTGAGGTTGAGCTTGTAAGTCAGGTAACACTTGACAGACATGTGTCCTATCAAGTGGTCTGTTGTAATACGCACTTATTCCTGCTAATCATTAGCAGTTCTTTTGCTAGGTCCTTGAATAAAGGCCTTACTGTGACTGTGCCCCTGTCTGTTTCTTCAGTGGATATTCTGCTTTTCCTTGACCCAGAGTTTTAGTGCACTAAAGGCCATACATTTGGATATTCCCAGTACTGGCTCTGGGCCAAGATAGGATGCAGATGATCCGTGCCCGGCTTTTTCGTTGCCTTGGATGCCGCTGTGGCCCGGCTCCAGAATAACTTAATTCTGTTCCTCCGTGCCAGAGCTCCCAGTTCACCTAGGCATTTCCAGACGAGAAAAGATCTGTCTGTACCTCTATTGGCTTAGTATTGGTGATTATCATAGATAGATAGAAAGTTAAAAAGCTTCAATTAACTAACTTTTTATTACCTATCTCAAATATCGCAGTTACATATATGTATGCAGGGGTGGATGGAGAAGTGGAAACCGGCCCGGGAATAACAGGCCACCGGCCCGAATCCACAAAAACAAAATGACCATAACGAAGAAACATATTTTATTTATTAATATACAGGGTGTCCCAGAAATAAGTGCAAGTATTTTAACTGGTAGTATATTTCGGCCTCAGAAACACGCCTATTAGTTTTTTTGGCGAAAATTTGGAATTTTTTGAAGAAATTTTTGGAATTTTTTTTAGTTTTAAGTTAAGAAAACATAATTTCTTGATAATCTGACAACTGACAATAGGTAGTAGATTAAATGTACATGAAAGAAAATACAGAAAAGATCCAGTGGTTCTCAAAATTTAAGCAAAAAAGCATTTTTTGTTTAAATTTTCAAAGTAAAATTTTGGTTAAAAAGGTTATTTTGGGCTTACTTGAAAAACGGTAAAGAGAAAAAATGTTTATTTTGGCCAAATCTACCCCCCTTAAAATATATTGCACTTATTTCTGGGATACCCTAGATAAGGGTCAAATCACCCCAAGTAAGGGTGATTTTCGCTCGGGCGAAAAAAACTCTTTTGCCTCCGATTTTTTCAAAATATTGAAATTGTCTTGATCCAAATTTTTATAAAGATCAATATCGGGTCGGACATCTGAATTCTTACTAGAAAATAGCTCAGTTTCACAGGGTTCTACTGTTTTATTTCCATTATCGATAACATTTGATCTTGAATATGCTACGATTTTGAATCACGGTTTTGAGAAACTTTAAGACCTCCTGATTCATTCAGTTCATCAGCTGGC